GGGGCTGTCGGTCAGGCCGGGCAGAGCCTCTGCCGGGCCGGCCAGGGGCGGTTCTGTGGGCCCCAAGGCCCATGGAGCCGTCCAGCTCTGAAATTTTTCTAAGTCCCACCGCTGTACCAGGGCTCCGAACGTCTTGCTGCCATACCAGAGGCCCGGACGGTTTGCCAGTGCGTTTTACTTGGTTTAATCCGTGGGGGGGTGCTTAAGGGTGGGTCCCCGGGCCCGCCTGGTGCTGGCGGTTCCCCAGGGAGGTGTGTTGGTGTTGACCCTATCCGGGGAGGAGGCCCCTTGGACGGATAGGAGTTGCATGGGAGAGAGCCCCTGGAACCGGCTGCAGGAAGGGATGGGGAGGTAGGGCTGTTGCAGGCGGGCTGATGGTGTGTGCTTGGTGGGTAAACGACCTCCAGCCCTGGAGGGAGTGAGCCCATCTGACCCTAGGGCTGTTGCAGGTGGGCTCAGGGTGTGTGCTTTGTGGATGAATAACCCATGACCCTGGAGGAAATGCGCCTTTTTAACACAGAATCAGATTCCTGGATGTCAAGGGGGCTTCCCCAGCAGCCTGCCCGAGGAGGAGGCCTCTCAGGCGGGCAGAGCATGAGTGGCAGAGGCCCCCCTGGAACCAGCTTCCAGGAAGGGATAGGGAGCTGGGGCTCCCCATGGAACAAGTATTCCACAAGCTCCAAGGGAGCTAAGGCTGCTGCAGGCGGGCTCAGGGGCTGTGCTTTGTGGGTAAAAAACCTCGGAGCATGGAGGAAATGCGGCTATTTAACCCAGAACCAGACTCCTGGATGTCAGGGGAGCTTCCCCGGCAGCCTGCCCGAGGAGGAGGCCTCTCAGGCGGGCAGAGCATGAGTGGCAGAGTGCCCCTGGAACCGCCAATCCACAAGCTGCAGGGAGCTAGGGCTGCTGCAGGCGGGCTCAGGGGCTGTGCTTTGTGGGTAAAAAACCTCGGAGCATGGAGGAAATGCGCCTTTTTAACCCAGAACCAGACTCCTGGATGTCAGGGGAGCTTCCCCGGCAGCCTGCCCGAGGAGGAGGCCTCTTGGGCGGATACAAGACGCTGGAAGACCTGGGTGAGTAAAAAATTAATAAAAACTGTTTATAAAGGGAATAAAAACAAAGTAAACCTTCTAAAATTAAGAAAACGCATCTAAGCAGTAGATAATGGAAAGAAAACGTGGAAAAAATAAGAAATAAATCCAAAAAAGCAAGTTTAAAAAAGTGAGATGGTGGAAAAATTTCAAAGTGTGCCGTGGAGAGTATAGGCCACATGAGGGGTAGCCCCTAGCTACGTAATACCATGGTGGGATTTTGGTGTTTTTGGGCTCCTGCCTATGCCAGCAGGATAGTAGGAGAGTGGCTTTCGAAGAGCCGGTCTGGAGAAATGACAGAGTGTCACCCGGGAGCGGTCCCGGGCCCTGAGCAATGACGGACCGGGCCGGACTTCCGGGCTCACTCTCCCCTGATCGATTGGCGAACGCGGCCTGCCATTGGAGGGCCTCCGTCGGCTCCCGGCTTTGCACGGACGGCTTCTCCAGCCTGCAGGCTCGACTCCTAGGCCCCGAACTAAATTACAATTTCTGCTCTGGAAATATTGTCAAAATATTTGTTTCTTTTTATTAAATCACTCAAAGCTGATCAAACCATGACGCCAAACTTAAAGATATTTTATTAATAACTGTTGTAAATAAAAAATTTAATTAATAAATAAACTCTATAAACTGTCGCCCAAATACCATAATCTCTAAATCAGTAGATGCAATGATAGAGGTTAAACTGCAGCATGAACAATTAAAAACTTCCATCTACATGCCCAATTTGGAGATGTGGCCGTGTCTCTCCAGCTGAGAGCCCCTGTATCGACAAGGGAGGTTCAAATAAATTCATCTGCTTGAGAGGCCTAACAAAATGTAGTGTTTGTTTATGAAATGTGTTTGGAACGTTAATTAATAATTTATGGCATTCAAAATGGTTAATAGCATTCACTTGGTAAACATCCATGAACATGGAGAGCAACTGGTGGTTTATATTTAATGCTATGCTTTCTCTGTCCGTTTAAAAGGGGGAAACACTGTTTTAAGAAGCACTGGCTATACCTGCAGAAAGCAGCCAGGAACAATGGAAAAGAGGAGAATAAACAGAAAGCAGAAGCACCTTTTCTATCAAGTTGGACTCTTTGTTTACAAGTTGTGTTAGTTTCTGCAGGTTGGCATCCATTGTTTCCTGAACAGGAGGAAGAGGGCCTAAGAAAAGAGGGAAAAGAGGATTGATCCAAAAAAGAGGAGTAAGATGTCAGTTAAGTGAGAAAAGTAAAGAAGTTACAAAAAGCAAATAGGTAAAGAAAAGCATAGAGATGGTTGTGTTAGACTTGCATCCTCATTACTGGTCAAATTTAATCAAGATTAGTGCAGCATAATATTTTAGCTGAATGTAGCAAACTTACAGGGTTTATCTGCACCAAAGTGGGCTGCAAGGATGTTGTCACAGAAGCGAGTGAGGTTGTCCAACTGTCTGAGGTGGCTCTGCAGAGGGCTGCTGGTGAGGTCTGCTTTGTGAAGCGGTGCCAGAAATCCAAACACAAACGCATCCAGGCTGCTTGGGCTGTTGAAACAAAACAACAATTTTCATATTTAGAAATAAAAACTTTTAGAGTTCTACAACATTTAATACAAGTCAATATAACTTACGAGTTGTCAAAGAAGTAGTTTGCAGTTCCCAGTCTGTAGGAGATGAGGTTCAGACACTCTTTAGCATCACTGTAGATCTGAGAGGAAGCAGAAAAGCATTAGCAGAGATATAACATCATCCAAAAACAAGCCAAAGCTGACAGATTAACAGAGCAGCTACCTTTCCCTCCACCCCAGTGATTCTGTGTAACAGCCCCTCTCCTTTTGTCAACAGGATGCGGTCGAGGGCGATGTTCGCAAGACGACCAGGGATGAAAAAGTTGAGCGGGAACGGAGAGTGGGAGGCAAACCATGGTCGCGTCAAATTGCTGTAATTCTCTGCATCCACCCAGAATGTGTGCAACTGCGAAAAACAAAACACAAAACAATCTTTCACTCACTGCATTTCTTTAGATAGAAAGTAGGAAAGGAGACTGATACCAGAGCCGGTCGCAGTTTCTCCTCCAGTAACGCGATGAAGGCCATAGTGTCTGCTCCCTGTCTGGCTGTCAGCTCATAATCAGCATTAAACCTCTGCAAACAATAAGAACAATGCTGTGAAATTATTTTAATTCTGCCAGTTAAGAAAAGAAATCAGATTTTTCCTGCTGTGGATCTGTTCTAATATAACCAAAAACTGCTCCCAGCTTAAATGCGATCAGGAACTCTGCAGATACCTTCTCTTTACATGGAAAAGTTCACGCTAGAAGCAGTTTGCTGCCAGCTAGTGGTCAAAACATCTGATTCTAGAGTATCTTATTTTCCGGACAATAAGTCACAGTTTTTTTTACCATAGTTTGGCTGGGGATGCAACTTATACTCTGGAGTGACTTATGTGTGAAATTATTAACATATTATTATATCGTTTCACATCTTATTTTCACACTAAACCGCAAGAGGGTGCTCTAAGCAACTGATAATTTCAACATTGGCATTAACTCACAAAAATAACTGAGAAGGGCTTTACAAAAATGGCACCGAAAAGAAAATCATATTCTGCAGATTACAAGCTGCAAGTAGAAAAATATACAGGCAAAAACGTTAATCGAGCAGTGGAGAGTTTGGAGTTAGTTGAGTTGTTTAAAAGTGACACAGAGGATGAAGATTTGATTGGATTTAGTAATTTGGAGTGACACGGATAGTTTGATAAACTTGTTAGCATGTTGTTTAAGCTATAGTTATCTGAATAACTCTTAATATGTTATGTTAACATACAAGGCACGTTCTCAGTTAGTTGTTTATGTGTCATATAACGTTAGCATACCATACAATTATCCCGCCTGTTGTTGCCCCTATTCTATTTTCATTTTAAATTGCCTTTCAAGATGACATGTCTGTTCTTGGTCTTGGATTTTATCAAATAAATTTCCCTCAAAAATGCGACTTATACTCCAGTACGACTTATCTGTATGAATGAGGTGAGTCACATTCCTTCTTTAATACACATTTTACAGCTGGTGCAACTTGTACCCCAGAACGACTAATAATCCAGAAAATACGGTAATCAAAATACTGTGATGGAAACCCAGAACGGACGGTGTGGAAACTTAATCTATAGCATCAATGAGGTGATCTCTGTGCCTGAGATGAGAAAATTAGTTTAATTACTGTTCTGCCCAATTATCATTAATGTCACTAACTTACACAACAATGCATACATTTATATACACATTGTAAGTGCTTCATGAAAACAGCAATAATGCAAAAATGATTCTTATATGATTGTAAATACTTTTAGGAAGCAATCGGTTCATCCTCTTTGTACCTAATTTGGCTGCTTTGAGCCATTCTCTACTTGGAAGATCCAGTTCCAGTAAGTTTTAACTTCCTGTTTAAAGTAGTAAGCAGATGCCTCCATGTTTTCCATGTAGCTTTATTCCTTGATAATGGCATATTTGTGTAGAATTAGTTTTAACCTTTTTAACACTGTATCTGTTTTGGTTTTATTAGTAAAATTGTGAAAAAACACTAAAGAAGCAGAATCTCTTACTTGTTTTCTTAGAAAGTTTAGAATCTGTGTTGGTTCTTGAACCACAGAGTCCCCACAAACCAGCTCTGGGAGGCTTGCTGTGGACAAACGAGACACAACAGAACAGGACAGAGATGATCATATACAATTAAAGGACAGGAAAATACAACATTGTCAACATTTTAAGGGGTCCTCATGAAAAAATTAACTCAGAGCAGCAAACAAAGATGAATTAATAAGATATAAACAAGCTAAACAGGCCTAAGCAACATAAAATAACATAAAATGTAACATAATTTTGATCATAAGGGTCTTTAGGGTAAATACCTTTGAATGATATGCAAATAAGGTGAATGAACTAATGGGACAATTTACCAATTTTTAAAACAAAGGAACATCTTTGAAGGAAAGAAAACTCATCTTTGCTTGTGTTCCTCTGAGCATAAAGCTGTGAGGCTCTGGTTAACTACCAGCTGCTTCCCACCTGTTAAGGTTTTCCATGTCCAGTCCACAGGACAAACTGTGAGCTTCGCTCCAGCAAATTTTGCGTAGGCCTGAAGGGAAAAAAAAGCAAGAAAACTTGTAAAAAAAAAAAAAAAATGAAACATTTATCAGGAAGCTTCCTGCAAAAACAACAAAACCAAAACCAGTAGTTTGTCTGAAAATGTTTTTTTTTTTTTTTGTTTTTTTTACAATATTTTTAACAAGTTAGAGCCAATCTTCCATCTAAACTATCTTAATTTTTTTTAATCAAATGTATAAAATGTCTGTAAATTTTTACAACATTCTAACTCATTTAGAGTAGCCTATTTGCTTTGATCATTTATTTTATGTTACACTACTGATAAAACATTACAGAGCTGTTGTTAACTTTATGGTCCCTCAGTGGGAATATTTAAATGTATCAGCAGTAAAGAGACAGGTGAACAGAAACATGTCGACCCAGATAAGGATAAGCAATAACAATAAAAGAAACAACAGACTGTACACTGCAAATTATTATAAAGACTAAAGTTAAAAAATATATTCTTTACAGATTCCAATAAATGTGAAACCAAGTAAGGTTGTTGAAAAACCCCCACAAACTTTGCATTAAGCACCTTTGCAAAAAAACAAAACAACATATACATAAAAATACAATTTAGAAAACTATGGAAGCGGTGCAAACTTTAGCAGGGATCTCAGCAATAAACTGTCTTTGTTCTGAGCAAAAATGGTTATAGTCACATATTTAAAGTGTAATAAGCAGCCTTTTCATTTAACCAGTGTTTATTGTCTGAATAAAGCTTATTATTATTTCTATTTTCTTTTTCTTTTTTCCTGGACGAAAAGCCAGATATGACGAGTCAAGCTTTAGCCAAAATGGTTCAATTTATTTTAATTAATTAAAATCAAATGAAACTGTTGAAGGAGAGTTCAAACCAATCAGATCTTTAAGACTTGGAACATTTTAAGGAGAAAAACAACAGCAGGCAAGACGTAATCTAAGATCCCCCCCCAAAAAAAACAAACAAAAAACAGCTAGAATTGGGCATTGCTGAGTATACATTTTATTACATTTATATTTAGGATGAATTAGTTAACAGTTAACAGAGTTTTAGATCTTTTAACTTTATATTCTAGTCAACAAAAGTTAGTTTTTTGCCCCTAAATTAAGTCCACCAACAACCTAAAGGATTACTAAATAAAATAACTGCGTTTTATTAAGAATCACAGAAAAAAATGATTCTTAAAAATTCCAATCCCACAAAAAAGGGGAAAGTACCACCTTGTGGCCAGAATTGTTACTGCAGCCGTTCAATGACACGTTTAAGAGCAGTTTAACGCCACCCTATATTTCCTATAGGGTTATTAACTAAGTTATAGCCAACATATAACTAATAAATAATCTACCAATAAGTCCAGAAAGAGAAACAAAGATTTTTCAAAAGCTGACCTTGAAGGACAGCATTGAGTTAAAGGAGTGACTGCTGACCAGCAGCTACACATGAAGGACAAACCTCTGCAGGAAGCACATCTTTCTCTGCAGCTGCGGCTTTAAACAGGACATTTTTGTTTATCCCATACTGAACGAAACGACAGTTACAAACTACAAGTGTTAGCATGAAAGCTAACGAAAGGAAACAACAGAAGACACTCAAAGGGAGACAAATGGCTCCCCACGCGTGTTAAAAGCTCCCCCGGAGGAGCTGACTGTCTTTGCTTTAAGCAAACAACAATCTTACCAGAACTATAAGAGAGTCGGTGTGGACAGAGGGAAGCCCCCAGTCTGCTCCCCAGCATCTCAGCTCCATGGCAGCCGCCATATTTTTGATTCATACAGAGAGCTGAGGACGTCACAGCATTGCTGTCCCTCCACAGCGCGAGAGGCAAGGGAAAGGAGCACGCGCGCATGTAAACAAAGATATGAGCAATATCAGCTGGGTCATAAATTAGGTGCACCATGTGATCAGCACATGATTGAAATAGAAAGATTCTTATTTCAATTAAAAAAATTATGAAACAAACAATTGGTGTTGTTTTTATAACAATTAATGCAGCAACATCAATAGATATAAACAATGTATTTACCCTTTCATTGTAAAAATACAAAAAGTCTTAATGTTGAATCAATTTCTTTTTTTCAGGAATCTTTTATTCAGCAACAGCAATATATTTATATGTGGCTCCATTTGGTTCAAAAATAAGTAGATGTTTAAAGTGTAGATGTTGGTATGTGTACTTGGGTAAAATCTAAAGCAAAACCACATAGCAACCATAAAATATAATAATAATTGAACTTTTCTGATCTCACATTAGAGATATTTACCTCTGCATTTAACCTATCCCCTTGGGGAGCAGTGGGCTGCCATTCTGGGGTGCCCGAGGAGCAATTGGGGGTTAAGGGTCTTGCTCAGAGACCCAGAGTGGCAGTCTGTGGGAGTGGGTTTCAAACTCACAACCTCAGGATTCCAAGCTCTACAGAGATGAGTTCTTGCAGATTTAATTTAGATGCAGATAGCAACAGAAACACAAATCCAGGAAAAATAAACAAGAAATCAAAACCAGGAGACGCCAGTGAGAAACACACATGAGAAGGGAAGCAATGAAGAGAATCCATCAATGTTAAACTGCACAGAGATGTATATAGGGAGACAGAACAAAGAATGGGCTAATCAGCTAATATGGAGCAGGTTTGCATAGAAGCAACTAGAAGGGAGCTTGGGGAAAGGAGACAAAAAAGACACTCAAAAATACAACACTGCGTAAATATGACTAGAAAACAACAATGATACAAAATGGAAAAGAAACCAATGACCAAGAAAACACAGAATGACATGATTTCAAATATAACTGAAAACTCAAAAAGAAACAGAACCAAAAAGTCCACAAAGGGCAGAATTATGACATATTTTCCTTCCACTTCACATCTGAGCACTAATTAATGTTAGTCTATTTTATAAATTCTAAAATGTGAAAACTATGAAAACATTCAAGGGGTATGGATACTTTGTAGTGCACTGCAAGTTTTGTCCCACGGCTGATATCATGAAGAAAGTGTTTGGTCAGAGTCCAGCCAGACTCAGACAGACATTCAGTGGAAACACTGAGGGATGGTAAATGTCTCTCTCTGACTTGGACAAGCAGCTGTTAAAATATGTTTTAGGTCAGCAGAGAGAGTGTAAACCAGACTTCTATTGTTCCATGTTTCCACTGAAAACCCCCTAGAGTCTAACCCTGTTTGCCCTTTTCCTGTAAACCTGTATTACATCAGAGGAAAATGGGCTGCAGTGATGTGTAAAGAAAGTTACCTGGACTGAAATCGTTTGCTTTGATTATACACATCAGGGGGGTGTTTATAAATCACCAAAGGAGATCAGATCAATTTTTGAGACAAAGGTTCACAATATCTGAGAAATCGAAGTGAATGGATTTATTTAAAGAGCTTTGAAATTTTTATCTTAAATCCCCTAAACACAAGAGCAACTTAACTTAGTGAACATTTTTATATTGTTTATCTTTATCAAATGCATTTACCAAATTAAAATATATATGGATTACTTCTGGTCCATTGTTTTTTTTTGTAATTCATAAGTTTAATTATTATAGTGATAATGATTTCCTGACCAAATTGTATGAGATGGTAGCAAGTAGCAACTCCCCTAAATTAGAACCAAACAGCAGCTCTCCCTTCCAGTGTCACTGGTGAGCAAGGACACTCCCCTATACTTTAAAAGCTGTGCCTGTGGACAAAGATACCATCTCACCTCAGCAGAGATTTTCCACCATTGACATCCTTCTGATTTTTTTTTTTCCTTTCACTTTCAACAGTCTGCAGTTTGATGAAATATTTTCTTGAGTTGTGCGCTTAATGGTGGAAATGAGTTTTAAAGCTGCAGCTCTGTGGCTGCTGCTGCAGCAGATGCTGCTCACCGTCGCAGGTCAGGGTATTGGTAAGTACTGCCTCTGCAACATACATGCTTTTATACTCTTATGGAAACCATATTACCCACATTTTTATATAAATAGGGAAAAAAAGTATAAGTTAAAATGTATTAAAATGTAATTTTACTTATCTGATTTGAAACAGGTTTATCTCTGATCTTTAGTTTAACTTTGAAATGGCAAAGTAACTCTAAATGAGATGATGGAAGAGCATTTGCATTACCTAAGCTTTCTTCCAGTCTGCACAAAACTTTTCCATAAAACTTTCTGTCACTTTGTGTTATTATTTAAATCCATCTTTACTGTGTTTGTGCATGAGAGTGTGGAGCAAATGGGTTTCGCTCCAGTGGACAAAGTTTACTACAGTTCTATAAAAGCGCAGCAGGAAGCTAACATGAAAGTCAGATTGCACACACAAACACATACGTCCATACACATCACAAAGGGTTCTGTCACACATAATAAAGAGCTGCGGCGCAGCTACTCAGGAGTAATTGGACTAAACCGTGATACAGAACTGCTTAAAGTCTACCAGATGGAGCATTTTAAGGTAATCTACTGCATAAAGCGTAATGCAACAGGTATTTATAAAGACGTGAATGTATTTTATCTGGAACTGACCGGATACAGCCATGCTAAGTGGGTAATGATTGTAGATTGGTGGGATGTTTTTAATGTTTTCATTACATTTTATTTTGAAGATGAACATTTAAAAAGTACGGCATGTATTTGCAAATGAGGTTCCAGTTGGAGTGTGATTCACATTCCAACAGAGTGATAACTCTATACATGTAACCAAGCCTGCAATGGACTGATTTACATTTACATGGCTCAAAATTCAGACTTAATTAAAACAAGAGACTTGAGCTTTGATTGCATAGATGCTCTCCATCCATCCATCCATCCATCCATCCATCCATCCATCCATCCATCCATCCATCCATCCATCCATCCATCCATCCATCCATCTATCCATTTTCTCATGCTTAGGTCTTTTCAGGGTCGCGGTGGGGCCGGTCAAAGGGCAACACAAGGATTCACAAAAACATACATCCGTTCACACACACACTTAGAGACAATTTAGAGAAGCCGATTAACCTAGTTATGTTTTTGGACTGTGGGAGGAAGCTGGAGTACCCAGAGACAACCCACTGCATGCACAGGGAGAACATGAAAACTCCATGCAGAAAGACCCCAGACCAGGAATCAGACTGCAATCAAACCCAGAAACTTCTTGCTGCAAGGCAACAGTGCTACCCACTGCTCCACCATGCAGCCTCTCCATCTATTCTGAATTAAATATAACCATTTTGCAAAGAACAATGGGAAAAACATTCAATCTTTGTGTGAAAGACTAATAATCCCTTCCTGAAGACCCAGCCCTTATTCCATAAACCCTTGACTCAAAGTAAAAATGTATGCCACATTTTCCTTCCACCTTATCATCCCAATAAAATGCATTTAAGTTTGTGGTTGTTCCAGGACAATAAGGATGCAATATGTTCTTTGCTCTTTTAAAGCTGCTGTTTCCTTGTTGTTTTATGCTATTTTATTACATCTGCAGAAAGAAACCCGCTCCTCTAACAGCTCTCTGCTTTGTTAGTCTATGACCTACTGGTGTCGCCAGACTGCCTGCCAGACCTGCTCCAAGGAAGCCTGAAGAACAAAGGCAGGGATGAAGCTTTCCTCCTCTCGTCCTTCAGGCTCCGAAACAAGGCTCCAACCTCTCTCTTCAGTGTGCTCAACCCCAAAGACAACTCTAAGTACCTGGAGTTCAACGTTCAAGCCAAAATGAACAAATGTGGGCTGATCCTGCCAGTTCTACATCATTTTGTGAACTAATGCTGGTTTTGATGTATCTGATTGTTGCCTCTCTTCATTTCAGTAACGCTTCGTTACAAGAAAACTGATGGCAGGTTTGGGACCACCAGTTTTAACCAAGGCTCCCTGGCAGATGGACAGGAGCACCACGTCATGATGCATGCCAGCGGCCTCCAGCGTGGCCCACCTCGTCTCAACATCTACTTTGACTGCAGACTGGTTCATACTCTGAATGACCTGCCGGCTGCATTTGGGTCGCTTCCATCTGGGACAAACATGGTGGCACTAAGGACCCTGCAGTCAAATGAACATGTAAATAACAAATCCTTGATAAAGGCTAGTTTGGTAATTCTCTAGAATTTAGTCCTTTTTGTCTTCTGTGCTTTCTTTTCTTTATTAGGACGAACTTACAGATCTGAAGCTGGTTATTGAGGACAGCATCGACAATGTGGCCACCCTGCAGGACTGTAGCAAGGAACCAGCTGAGTCTCTGCACCTGCTGGGTGGGTAGATATGCACAAAAGCTCACATTGCCCATAATTAGGCACATCAAATTTATAATTTCATGTTTATTTTGCCCAGAGTTCCAAGGAGGCAGGGTGGTGCAAGATCAGACCTCCACGGAGGAGCTAAAGAGCATGTTGTCAGAGATGAGGGAGCTGCTGCTCAAGCAGGTTAATGTTTCATTATGTGTAATTATCTCAATTACATCAAAATGGTGGGGGGAAAAAAAACAAAAAACCCACAGAGCTGCTCACAAATAACATGGATCAAGATGAAGAATATTCTTTTAAAGAGTTGTAGAGAAGACCGCTAAAGTTAGGTGGAATCTGGGTCAGAAAATGTCTTCATATTGGTTACTGTTGAGATCCAGATGTGGCTCGAGTCAATTTATATCATTTGAAAATGAATAGTTGATAGTAAAAGTCGGTCACAGTTTTAGTTCATGGATAATTTCCTGCACAGGAACTATTATGCACTTAAATATAAATGAACACAACTTTCTGCTAGATCCAACATGATTTCTCTTTTAATGGCTCTCTTCATATTACTAACAGTATTATTAAAATTAATAATCTAAAATTATAAATAATCCTTAGTCCTCCTATTCTGATGATATTTTGTCAGGTTCAAACTAGGTATCTTAACATCTTTGTTTTAAATGTATAAGATTATTTACAATCAAGACAATATATTTGATCTTCATAAGTCGGGGAATGATGCAGGAAAGCTTTCCACACTCAGAGCAGTTATAAGAAAGAAAACCTCCAGAAAACCTCCATCTTAAGGTAACATCATTTCCATAACAGCTGAGAGATGATATTCTAACCCTGATTTTGATGCTTTGATGTAGATCAAGGAAACAAACTTTCTGAGGAACACTATTGCTGAGTGTCTGGCTTGTGGTAAGCAGTATAGAAAAATCAATCTAACCTTTTCAAAGTGTTAAAACACTTAATCTAAATCAGCTTGTTTTTTTTTTCTGTCTGTGTCCATGCACCCATAGGACTAGTAGGAAGCCCCACTAACCCTGTTCCAGGTCCGAGTCCCGGGAAGGTGCTGATGCCTTCCAATTTGATTCAGTGCCCAGTGGGGACCTGTTTCAGACAGGACATGTGTATCCCCTCAGAGTCAGGGGGATACAGATGTGCCGCCTGTCCAGATGGATACACTGGAGATGGGGTTAGCTGTGACGACGTAGATGAGGTAAGGATTATAGTCTCTGAATTCCCAGCGGCTGTCAGCTATTGGATTTTTTGTAAAGGTTCTTCTCCGTCTCTGAGTTTTAGTGCACCTTTAATCCATGTTTTCCTGGTGTCCTGTGCGTAAACACTGCTCCCGGCTTCCGCTGTGAGAAATGCCCTCTGGGATACATCGGACCAGAGCTAAATGGTGTCGGCGTGTCTTATGCCAAATCAAATAAACAAGTATATCTGGGCTCCTTCAGTTTCTTTCAGTTCTTTTGAAGAAACCAAAACACCCCTTCTTTATTTTTGTGCCAATGTTTCTTCCTCTCCCAGGTGTGTGAAGACTTTGATGAGTGTCTGGGCCCACCTGAGAATGGAGGTTGCACCCCCAACTCACACTGTTACAACACTATTGTAAGACCACCTTGAGCACAGTGTACATATTGTAGAGATGAGGATGGCTGTCTCTGACTGTGATGTGCCCATCAGGGTTCCTTCCGGTGTGGAGAGTGTAAGGCTGGTTTCACTGGTGACCAGTTAACAGGCTGTCATGGAACCAGACTTTGCCCCAATGGTCAACCGAACCCTTGTGACATCAATGGCGAGTGCATTGTGGAGAGAGATGGAAGCATTAGCTGTGTGGTACATTGTCCCAACAGGCATTGATAACAGGTTCCCTTTGTCACTGAGAGGTACTTTAATAAACTGCTTCCGATCTGTTGTCCGATCTCTTAGTGTGGCGTTGGTTGGGCTGGCAATGGTTATGTGTGTGGAAAAGATACTGATATTGACGCTTATCCAGACGATAAGCTGCTCTGCAGAGACAACAACTGTAACAAGGTACTTGACTCCTATAGCTTCCTCTCTCCCTCATTTAATTCAACTTGCATAAAACAAACGTGTCTTTATTTTACAGGACAACTGTGTGTTTGTGCCCAACTCTGGCCAAGAAGACGCAGACAGGGACGGGTCTGGTGATGCCTGCGATGATGATGCGGATAATGACGGCATCATTAATGCAGATGTAGGTGACTTAGCTTATCGAAAGTAGATTACGCGTCTTTCAGAAGCACTTTAACCCTTTAACTGAAACATATTTTAAAAGGGAAAACCCCTGATTTGAGTTTTTTTTACTGGGAATCTGATTTGTTTCCCCTTTCCTGTTGAAGTGAAGTATCCCCACATCATGATGCTTTCACCATGTTACATCACAAGTTATAGTATGTTTAGGGTGATTTGGAGTTTTAGCTTTCCTCTACATATTAGCATTTCAAATCGGATCTATTAACTGTGTTTACATGACTTCATCTCAAACTGTAACAGAACTTCTTTTAGATTTATTTTCCTTTTCTCCTTATCCATGAAGCCCAGATATTTGGAGTGACAGTAGTCATGAGGGGAGTGTTGGCCTAGTGGTTAGAGCTGTGCGTTTGTGCTCTAAGAAGGTTTAAATACCCGATTCTATCCTTATAGCCTGCACCCTGGTCTCTGAGCAAGACCCTTAGCCCCACACTGCTCCTTGTGCGCCATACAATGGCGTTAAATGGGTTAAATGCAGAGGTAAATTTCTCCAGTGAGAGATCAATAAAGTTCAGTTATTATTATGTCAGCAGATTATCCAACCTTATTTCTACAGGATTTCTCCAGAAATACTTTTTACTTTTATGCATTTTTTCAAGTTATCATGTAGCTCATAAATAACAAATGAAAGACTTTGAAGTCTATGGTCAGCTGTGAGGTGGTGCAGTTATTACCACCTAAGCCTGGGGTCTTTCTGCTTGGGGTTTGTATGTTTTCATCGTGTATACATCAGTTCTAAAACATTTATTTTTTATTTTTTGCAGGATAACTGCTGGCTGGTCCCAAATGTTGACCAGAAGAACAGTGATAAAGATTCCCATGGTGATGCTTGTGACAACTGCAGACTAATTAATAATCCCTTACAGAGGGACACTGACAAGGACGGGCTGGGAGATGAATGTGATGATGATATGGACGGAGATGGTGAGGGTGTTAATATCTACTACTTAAATTCTGTATATCAGATTTAAACTCATTTCTTTCATGATCACATTTAGATGGATGACACGTCACCTTCCCCTGTATCTAATGCTTAAATCAAACTTGTTTAAACAAAACTGAAAGCAGTCTTCTGATGAAAACATAACCAGGGAGAGGGTTATCCAGAGTGCAGTCCATCTGGACACGAGAACCGTCCTAGAAGAAGGCAGATGGAAAAAATTTTTATTGCCTTCCCTGATCTCACAGACCTTTCTCTGTGAAAACATCCTTCTGCTTTTTGTGTCTGTTTCCCTCCACATCATCTGCCGGTTAGATCCTATATCAGGGGATATAGTGAAACAAAGCAGTGTAGAAAATAAAGACAAAACTTCAACTACACTCTTAAATGTCTTTCCCTAAAACCTTTACAACATACAATGACATTTGATTTGCTTGGGTGGAAAAATCTTGCCTTTTTGTTACCTTTTAATGTTGCATGTTTAGTACCCTTTGTTTGGTGTTGGGTTTGGCGGTGCTCCCTCCTCTTGGTCCTTTGCTAATGTTTTTTCCTTTGCGTTCTGATTGCTGAGAATTTAATCATGTCTGTCTCGTCATTTAGATCATTTTTTCCATGGCCAGCCGTTGCCAGGAGCTGAGGGCCACTGGAAACTATTACACCTTCAATTTAAAACAAATGCTGCCATCTGGTGATGCATACAGACTGCTATTTATGCCCTATCCAACTGTGCTTTTAAATATGCTTCCAGGTTTGAAAAACATTCTTGATAACTGCCAGCGAGTCCCCAACCCAGACCAGACAGACAGAGACAATGATGGCGTAGGGGACGCCTGTGACAGCTGTCCTGACATGGTCAACCCCAATCAGGTAACAGAAAACCCACCCAGAGAGATTTCTCCTCTATCTCACCCTGATCTAATTGTTTGTGTCACTGACCTGCAGTCGGACTCAGACGATGACCTCGTCGGAGACACCTGTGATGACAACATAGACAGGTACAACCTTTGTTCCTGGCTGGTTGGTTCAAACGCGTTTCGTTCTTTCTTTTACATGTTTTGGCTTTTTTTTATTGTCAGTGATGGTGATGGTCACCAGAACACGAAGGACAATTGTCCCACTGTCATCAACTCCTCTCAGCTGGACACGGACAAGGATGGAATGGTTTCATCTCGTTTATCAAACACTTTGTGATTCTCTGATTCATGTTACTGTTGTAGAGAGAACCAATCTATGGTCTCTTTCTGGCAGGGAGATGAATGTGACGATGACGATGATAACGATGGAATACTAGATGGTGATGATAACTGCAGACTGGTTCCCAATCCAGACCAAAAGGACTCAGACAGTTTGTATTTATTCATTTTCTTTCATTCTGTAAAGCTTAGGTCAGACGTTTGCTTACACCTATTATGATTAGAGGGACATCTTTGTCCTGTTGGGCAACGTCAGGTTAAGAGAAAGAAAAAAAACCTGGAAGTTCTTCTGCTGTTCCATCTAAGCCAGGGGTCTCCAACCCTGATCCTTAAGATCTACTGTCCTGCAGATTTAAGATGCATTTGTGCTCCAACACAGCTGATTCAAGTGACTGAATTAACTCTTCATTATGCCATTGAGTTTGGCCATTGACTTGATTCAGCTCTAGTTGAGCAGTGTTGCATGTAAACCCTGCAGGACAGTAGATCTCGAGGACCAGGGTTGGAAACCCCTGATCTAAGCTATAGAATGCTCCAGTAAACAGACCCACAATATAAGGGTTTAACCACTTAGTACTGTGGTCTTGGATTAAAAAGCAGGTTTCTGAGTATTTGTTACCTTGTGGAAACAGTTTCCAGTACATTGTGGTCACTTGCAGGTTTTTGTTGGGACGGTGGTTTCCATTTGAAAACTTTTTCTTGGGTTGGGCGTTAGGTTTAGGACTAAAATGTGAATTCAGTTTAGGTTTAGTTTAGGATAAGTTTGGGTTTAGTCGTGTGTTGGTAAGGATGTTGGCTATTGAAATGAATGCAAAATGAATGGAAGTCAATGAAAAGTACATTAAAAATTCATTCAAACTTGTAGGCAAGGCAAGGCCAGACAAATTTATTTGTATAGCACAATTCAGTACAAAGACAATGCAAAGAGCTTTATATGATTAAAAAAATAGGAAAATAAAACAGAATCAAAGCAAGTAGGAAAAAATAAAATAAAAAAATGCAGAAACAAAAAAGAATATTAAAAACAGTTGGACTAAAAAAAATAAAAAAGTTGAACTAATGATGTTTCAGTTGAACTCTTTAACTCGAACAGTCAAAGGCAATCCTAAACAAATGTGTTTTTAGTCTTGATTTAAAGGAACTCAGGCTTTCCGCACTTTTACAGTTACAGTTGTAGAGATAAGACCATTCCACGTTTAAACAAAAAGGCCTCAAAAAATCCTGAAAAGCCGTCTGATTGATATAATCTTTATGCACATGGTGAGTTTAACTGCTGAAGGCTATAGTTTTGTCTTTATCTGTTTAAAATAAGCTCTAATTATGTATATTAGTGGACAAAGTCGGCGATGCCTGCGAAGGAGACTTTGACAAGGACAACGTGATTGACATCATCGACCACTGCCCAGAAAACGCAGAGGTCACGCTGACCGACTTCAGAGCCTACCAGACTGTGGTTCTGGACCCAGAGGGAGACTCACAGATAGACCCCAACTGGGTGGTACTCAACCAGGTAAGCAACATGACTCACCAGGCCTTCCTTCCTCCAGACCTTTAGACCCTTTTGCTATGCAGTGTTTTCCAGAATGTCTCTACTCATTAAAGTTCTCAACTTATTTGGTTAAAATGAATCCACTGTATTTCCCCCCTTTCAGGGTATGGAGATAGTACAGACCATGAACTCTGATCCTGGTCTTGCTGTTGGTAAATACATCTCTATCTTTTTCTTGTCATCTTTAAACAAGTTAAATTATTTCCCATCATCCTTGAAGAATCTTCTTGTCAGTGATGTTGAATGTCTGCTGTGTTTTTCTCCAGGCTATACAGCTTTCAGCGGAGTTGACTTTGAGGGAACCTTCCACGTGAACACAGTGACTGACGATGATTACGCTGGTTTCATTTTCGGCTATCAGGACTCATCCTCCTTCTACGTGGTGATGTGGAAACAGACTGAACAGACCTACTGGCAGGCCGCGCCATTCCGAGCTGTCGCCGAGCCGGGAATACAACTCAAGGTTTGTGGTTTGTACAGGTGGTGAAATCTGAAATCAGTTTGACAGTGTCCTTCTTGATCTTGCATGGCTCTCCATCCACAGGTGGTGAAATCTAAGACAGGTCCTGGTGAGTACATGAGGAACTCACTGTGGCACACAGGAAACACAACAGACCAGGTACGCCTTCTGTGGAAGGACCCCAGGAACGTTGGCTGGAAGGACAAGGTTTCCTACCGCTGGTTCCTTCAGCACAGACCGCAGGTCGGATACATCAGGTACAAGCAGACATGCACAATCAAACCTTAGATACGGGGGGGATACAATATGTTTTCAAATGTATGTTCCACGACAATGGCGTAACGACACAACAATAGGCCCATAAGCAACATTATCTGGGTGGGCCCCATATGAAGTACAACATGTGATAAAGGTTTAGGATACGGCGACAGTTCCATAACAACAACTCGCATAGTTAGGAGCTTTATAGCCCCCCTTCTCACCCACACTCTCTCCATTCATCTCCTAGTCGCAATCTTTACTCACTGTAGCAACAACGTCCACCTCTCCCTCTTCGGTTTTCCCTTTTCCAGCAGATCTTCTTTCCTTTTTCTTTTCTGGATTCCACTTAAGTACCTCTATTTGGTATCCATTGTGTCGGACACATTGTACTTAATGGTTATGGTTTTAATCAACGCTCTGGATTACCCATAATTTGTAGTGTAAAACATAAAATACTCAAATACATCCTTCTTTTAAGATCTTTATTGCGGTTTGAAACATATTATATGAGTGTATTTTTTACCAACTGTCTAATGAAGTATACACAGTTATTAATATGTAATTAAAAGTACCACTGTCTGCTTTGCTATTGTTGCCGTCCTTAAACGACTCACCATCCTGTTGGAATCTGGCGGTATAAATACGCCAGATTTATACCGCCAAATAGGCAGTCCCTTCAGTATCAGGTTGGTTTAAGAGGAAATTTTTGAACCATAACACCTGCAAATTGCGTGGGGGGTCTATCAGGTATCATTGACGGGGCCCCTTAGGGGTTGTGGGCCTGTACCGATATTTACGCCATTGTTCCACGATAGGATTTATCCTAATATAGCCACTCATTTAAACAAAAACAATGCATTGGGTTTTTAAAAATAATATAGCTCTGGAAAAGCCTAGGAGAGCTGGTTGTCACTCTGCTGAATGGTAGGCTATTGGGCGGTACGTTGCCAACTAGTGGTTGCTTGTATAAGAGGCTTAAACAAAGTACAACCATGACATGAACACCTATGAATTTTTCTTTTTATATTTAAGGTCTATTTGACCATATTTTTGGATTAATACAAATATTGTCTAATGAAATATCACGGTTTGACACAATCTCTTTATTGTTACACCTCAGTTATATGCTGTATAATTTAAAGGTTTACCAGCGGTTCTGTTGACGTGAATTTTATATGTGTCTTGGGGCTTTCAAAACAAGAAGTGGGCGCAATATATGCATTTATCATGCCTTTTGTTCTACATATAGTCCAGGTTCTAAATACAGGCTCATATTCTACATAAAGGCCTTTATTTTCTGTCAGATCCCTCATTATGCGACCCTACACCATACAGTTTTTCTTCGCATTAGCAATCGTGTGGTATAACCAGAGTGATAAATAGCCTCTCTTAAATTTGCGTCCAAGTCGAGAGGCTTAATGTTATCAACTTATTTTATTTATTTTTATTTTTATTTTATTTATTTATTCATTCATTTCATTGAATACCAAAAAAACAGCCTATCAAATTTTTGATATACTAAAAAATTAAAATACACCTCCATCCATAAATACCTACATATCCATCTGTATACATTACATACATATATACACACACAGACATACTACATATGTATTTCAAAATTTTAAAACAAAATGAAATGAAAGGCAGCAGAAAGAAGAAAAAAATCTTATAATATCTGCCCCTTTTTTCTCAGCTCTGAAACTAAACAGGGGAAAAAATTGTTATCTTCTGCAACAAAAACAAAGTCAGTCGCCAATCTCAACTAAACAACGATAGTATGAGCTCACTTTATACTATTTCATACTTCTTCAAGAATCCAGTCTTTAACATTCTCTTAAACATGTGCAGTGATTTGGCATTTTTAACATCATTTTGTAGTTCGTTCCACAGTTTGACTCCTTGTATCGAGGTACATCGTTCTTTCAAACTGGTTCTGAATTTGGGTTTCTTAAAAATCTGTGTCCCCTTAAGGTTATAACTGCTCTCTCTCTTTGCAAAGGTTTTTGGATGTTTGAGGGTAATGTATTTAGGTGTGCCTTATACATAACTAACAAAATATTATAATCAACTAAATCATGGAATTTCAATAACCTCAATTTACAAAACAATATATTGGATGGGTATTTGCCATGTTTTCGAGTATTAACTCTTATAGCCCTTTTTTGCAAAACAAAAACTGATTTTGTATAACATGCCTTTCCCCATACCTCAACACAATAGACCAAGTGTGGAACAATTAATACATTATACAACATATACAGTGCATGATCGTTCAGAAAATCCCTTACTTTATAAAGCACTGCAATTGATTTGGCTATTTTTGTTCTTAAATAATTCAAGTGGGATTTCCATGTTAATCTCTCGTCAATAATCACACCCAAGAACTTCACCTCACTAACTCTACAAATCTCTACACCATCAACTTTAAATGGAATATTAACAGTTCTTTGTCTCCTTGTAAATAACATATAATTTGTTTTATCCAAATTTAAAGATAATTTATTAAGTTTAAACCATTTTTGTATTTGCATAAATTCTGTTTGTATTTTTTTCTAACATCCATTCTATATCTGTACCTTGACAAAAAAAAGTGGTATCATCCGCAAATAGGACACATTTGAAAAACCCTGACACATTTACCAAGTCATTAACATATAGGATGAACAACTTTGGTCCAAGTACTGAACCCTGTGGAACTCCACATGTAATTTCACAAAATTCGGATCTTGTATCATGTACTTGTACAAACTGTTTTCTTTTTTCCAAATAACTCGAGATCCACTGTAATGCCGGCCCTCTAATCCCGTATTTAACACGTTTTTTGAGTAAAATGCTATGGTCAATCGTGTCGAATGCTTTCTTTAGATCAACGTAAATACTGGCACAATATTGTTTTTAATCAATTACACTTGTTATTTGTTCTATCAGTTCCATAAGAGCCATTGATGTCGAGTTTTTGGCTCTAAATCCGTATTGACTGCCACTTAAAAAAATGAAACAAAGATTGAAACTGTTAAGAGGGTTTTAGACCTAAAAGCACTGTACCAACTATCAAGCATGGTGGTGGTAGCTTCATTCTGTCTGTTTAGCTGCCAGTGGTGATGGAGCTTTACAATCAGTGTAGAATGATAAAGCAGAAGGAACCGAACTACCTTAAACGTCTTCTAATTGCCCTCAGATAGACAGCAAGATTGGAAAGATTTACACATCACTTTGTTCAAATGGAACAATGAGCCAAAACAATTATCAAAGGAAGTGATGAGGCTGGCTAACATCCAGCTGCAGGAATACTCCTGACCTCACCCTGTTAAACAAATATAAGGACTGTGTCACAAAGCAGGAGGAAGAGTCCAAACTGAGAAACAGTTTTTGTCAAATTTTCCCCTAGAATTATATTGCAAGCACTAAGATTAAGGTGCAGCTGACTTTTAATCCCACAGAAATTCATGATCAAAAATCATATTTGTCTTGATAATTTTTGAGCCGGTATGTACAATTTAATTGAGATATTCCACAATAAAGAAAAATGTGTACTGCAAATCCATGTGTTTCACATAATGAACATTGTTGTTTTCATTGATCATTTAGACTTTTAAAAAATTATACGCATGATTCCCAATATTAAGTAAATGTAGACTTATGAACTGAACTGCTCTTTTTTTCATGTGTGGCCCAGAGCTCGCTTCTACGAGGGTTCCAAACTGGTGGCAGACACTGGGGCGATTATCGACACCAGTATGAGAGGTGGGAGACTCGGTGTGTTCTGCTTTTCTCAGGAGAACATCATCTGGTCCAATCTTAAGTACCGCTGCAATGGTGAGCGCCTGCAAACTAAAAAACTCCCATAAATATAAGCTGTAAAAATGATAATAAAAAATGAGATTCTCTCTTTTTCCTTCTTGCTTTCAGACACCATACCTTCTGATTACGAAGAGCTGGAAAGAGTCGACTGAAGGGGGAAGATTACAGATTACTGAGATGGTGGTGGTGGTGGGGGGGTAGCACAAAGAAAGAAGATGCTGAGCTGCACGGCTGAAGCAAAAATGTTTATTGGTCAGAAGAAATGGGACTATATTCAGTGATAGTGTTTAGTGGAGTTGAACATTGGACATTATATCATTTAAAAATTCAATAAGCAAATAATCAGTTTCTTTTAATGTCTATGCAATATATTATTTTCAGTTTATCAGTGCTGCACAAAAAGTAATCTGCTTGATCTAGCAAATCCTCTCCATTAACCTCCCGATTGATAAGTACTACTAAGGTGAACATTTACATTACAGTCATTGTTATGCATTTTAAGGTTAAAGTAAAAAGTATGTGGATCAGCTCTCACTAGTGTTTGATTAAATGCTCTTTTGAAAACCACACGTTAGCCACATGCTTTTGAAGCCACCGAAAAGCTTCTGTTAGGAAACTGAGCTATCTTATTACATCTGATAGATCTTATTCAAATTATTGCATCTCCTCTGAAATACTTGGACTGCATGTGCTCTATAGTATTGTAAGCATTTTTAAAGTCTACAGCAACAGAACCTAATTTTTCAGCCTGTTTCATAAAAATGTATTGATGTGTTTGTCAATCATTACCAGAGCCACCAGTGTTCAAGTATCCACCATCTAGCTGTTGATCTGACGGGAAGTTGGGAAATTTGGAGGGAGCCCTACTTTTTCATCACCATGCCGCCACATCCATTGGTTCCAAACATCCTACCTGGTTTCCTTTAACCTGAAGGGGGTATCTTTAAATGTGGGTAGCAGCTGGAAGATGAAAACTAGGTTTGGGATTAACTTAACAGGCTTGTAGGATAACCTTTCAAAATCTTTAATATCAGCCATGTAAAAAAAAAAGAAGTACTCTTTAAAATCCAGGCATTCAGTCAGTATAAATAAACCCCATTAACTCTGATAGGATTTAGCTGATGTGACATAAACTACAAGCTTATGGTTTCTCAGCATCTTTATTAGGAACACATGACTAAAATGTTTCACTTCTAATCTTTCTTTAATCTGTGTGCTGCATAAATGTGAGTAGCATGACTAACGGTATAGGAACAGTATATGTACGTTTTTCCTTGGAACTATACACAGAAGAAGACATCAGTTGGCGCTTTATGAATGTTTTATTGAAAGACAGGAGATTCATGTCATCTATATCTTTGTATTTCAAACAAATTTTGGTCAAATTACTGTTGGTAATAAAGATTCTTCTACAGTAACTTTTAAAGTTTTTCATTTTTTTTATGAAAGCACCAAACTTTTTTTACATTCATCATTTAAATGCAGAATTGTTTCAGGAACAAATTAATGTCAGAACATATGAAGCATAATTTAAACTTACTTTTCAGCTCTGTTGCCATTATTTACAATTCAGTTATGCTGCTGTAAAAGTTAAGAGGGCAATTAGAAAAAAACAACCCAAAAAAAAGAAACAAACAAAAAAAAGAAGTGTTTGAAGGAATTATCCAGCACAAGCAACCTGCCTTGCAGCTTGATGTCATTGTTATAATACAGTTTATTTCAGGTGTAAACTCAACATCCAGTGTTGAATAAATCACTTTTAACATCAGCTGTGCTGTTTTTTTTAATTTATTTATTCTGAACCTGTTTAATGAAAATAAAACAATGATTCAGGAAATACAGTTCATTTTGATCCTTTTTCCCAACAGACAACATGAGCAGTTCTGTCAAGCTACCTTTGGCAAATGCAGTGTGGATTCGGTGGAGCTCTTCCAGAGAGGTGGCACTTTACTGTCTGATTTAAAACCTACTGCAACGCATGAGTGGAAAAAAAAACAAAACACAGTTGAGATGGATTTCTTTAAGAAAGATTTGGCTCAAAGGGAGCACTGGCGATACTAAAACTTTACCCTTGTGACTTAAATGGAAACTTCACGACAGCAGGTGTCTAATAACAACTTGTTCTGTTGCATAGAAAACTACAAAAGACACAATATATAACAAATCACCAACACAGAGCTTAAATATAAGCCTGAGAAACTTTTTTTTTTTAAACGTTGTTAGAGGCCAAACCAGTCCAGTTTACACCACAGTTCTTTTAGGATTAAATAAATACATCACCCTCTGTAGCATTTCTTCAACAAAATTTTTCCCAAAACATAAAAAACGTTGCTACAGCTTGTTGGTTTGATTTCACAGAACTAAAGCATCTGGCTTTGATTATAAAGGAAAAGACAATGAAATAAAAAAAAAAAAAAGTACAAATAATACATAATAATAATAATAATACATGTGTTTTGGAGAATCTACAAAGGCTCAAAGTTTTGACTGTAACGCAACTGCAAACATTGTTAATGTAACTTCAGACCTTTAAGGAATACAAAGACTAGTCAGTGGTATTAAAACAATTAAAATCACCATCAAGGTATTACCAGCTTAACGTTGCAAAGCAAAAGTTGTAACAGATAAAAGGAAAAAGGCAACAGATGATCCTTCACTTTGAATGTTGAAGGTAGTGTAGGGTTGTGTTTTAAGGTAAGATGGGGGGGTTCTGGTGGTCCCTTAGCCATCTGAACACAAGTTGACATAAGTGCAATGATGAGTGACCTAAGCCTCGAAGCGCTGCGGACACATCAGGGGAGCGACGAGGGTCATCATGTAGAGGAAGAGGCAAACCCAGCAGGAAACCATTTTGACCCAGAACACAGACCAGCTCCCCTCCAGCAGCTGCTCAATCCTGTGGTTGTCGTAACTGCGAGCAAGACGAGAATACAACCAGACGTCAAAAATTTTAAAATACCAAAGGTGGTGAGTAGCAATATTGGCAAAAAACAAAAACATTACCAACCACTGGAGCTAGCTAAAGGGTTACTGGGTTACCTAGTTTAGGAGTCCAGATTTATTCATCACTTAGTTTTACAGCTAGTTTTTTTTTATGCAGCTACAAACATTTATCCAGGTTATTACCATGCTTTCCACACTTTGTTTAAGGTCAAAATCAAGGATATTTCAAAGACTTACTAGAACCATTGTCCTTAGATTCAAAGACTGTAGGTAAAAGAGAGGCAACATTTGTATTGCTAAGTATGCTATCAATAAAAGATTTTAATGTAATAAAATTTAATTAAAAATGACTGAATGACACTAAATCAGCAAATAAAGTTGACTGTGATGGCCTACATTTATATCCACATTACAATATATCTAGAAATGGAGAGGTCAGGTTTTGAAGGCTCAAATCTCTTCACCAAAAGGTTCATTTCTCAAAGCCTCATACAAGCTTCAAATGCCCACTAATGCCATCTAGTGGTGAATAAGAGAGTCTAACACGTTACATTTTATGAGATTTATCTAGGGACACTGGAACAATGTTATCACACCCTGCTTGTATGAGGTAGTCTCAATGAAAATGATTGTAATGTAAATATAGATTCAATAGCAAAAATGGATTTTATAAGTGGGTTTCATTTGGAGAAACACCTCATTGAAAGAAATCTGACTTCGAATAAAAACTTTCTCCATTATTATAATTGTTCCCTCACTACATCCTTGCCCAAAGTCTCCTTCAAAGATGGGTCTCTTTAAATGGCTGTTTTTAAAAACCTTCCAGGTCCTTGAATTTGCTTTTTGAAATGAACGCATTTTAAAGGATTTCAAGGTCGCGTCGGAACCCTGCATTAATGCAAAGTGACCAGAATACTTTGCATTAAACCCACTGGAATTGATTGCAGTTTGATCTGTTAGCTTTTGACGATAACAGAAAGGGAGAATATGCCGCAGCAGGCATTAGGTATGTTTCCAGTAACCCTCAAACTGCACAAAATTTAAATAAGAAAATAAAGGAGCCTAATGGAAACACTGCAATTTTGTAAAAAAAAAAATGTACGCTTCGATATGGTGGTTTTTGGGTCATATTGAAATTCTTACATTTATATATTTCACAAAACTGCAATAAAGACACTTTTTTCTCATCAGACCAGTCACATGATCTGATGCTCGACTTACTGCCCTATAAAAAGATGAAGGAGGAGACCAGAAGGAGTTGGAGGATGATGGCGCCCACTAGAGCTGTGGCTATATCTCATGCTGCCATGTTGTTTTCAGGGTTATTGCGTGAAAAAATGTTTTTATGTGCAATTTTAACTGTGATTATTATTTAAAAGAAATACTGCAATACTGCAAATTTTTGCATTTTTGAAATTCGCTGAATATTGATATAGCTTTGAGCACATTTGTAATAAAAATGCAGCTGGTGATCCTAATCATGACCAAACTTGTGGGGTAAAATGTTTAGTCAATTTCTGCAGGTGAAATAAAGCTATTTTTAAAAAACATTTACCTTATAGACGGTCTACAGCAGAGTATATTTGTCCTCTGCAACGTTTGTAATAAGATCAAGAAGCCTTGTGCATAATAAGTTGAATTCAGCTGTTGGGGAATATTGATATTTCTTCATCAGTTAAGGTATTAAGGTACACTGTTATAATGACAGGTTATAAGCAACATGTTTAATAGCTGAACGGAGGTCAAACAACAAGTTTTAAATAAATCCAGTAGGATCCAGTTCTATAAAGTTCACATGTTTCCTGTTACTACCATGATGACGTAAACCCTTGGTTGTTCTTGCTGCAATAATCTCTCACAGGCTTAATGTGCTTTATTACTTACTGAAACCAGTTGGTGACAGTCATCATGACGTAAAGAGAGCCCAGGAAGAAGACAAAATGGAAGAAGGAATAGCCATAGATGGTTCCGTCTTCTTCATCGTACACCACGCTCTGTCCCGAGGTGGTATTGTCCTCTTCATAATCGTCTGACAAGGACACAGTAAATCATGCATGAATGGGGAGAGCCAGCGGCGCATGTCTTAAAAAGGCTCAAACATTAATGAGAAGAATCTTCAAGTAAATATATCTCATTTCCAGTAGGTGGCAGCGTGTTTCCACACATGCATCTTCCTCATCCAGACTCTGCTTTACATTGTCACACTAACCTCCTAGTAACAGTGACATCATCTGCTTTTGCTGACCAATGTTTTCTCACTATGCCAAATCTGGCTGCAGAATAGCAATAAGAACAGTCCCAAAGGGTGCCAGCACACTGACTGTGAAGGACAAATTGCTAGACGCTCCTCACCTGTGTCATCTCCGAAGCAGAAACAGCAGCGAGCTCTCTGCAGAGGAAACAAAACATCCAAGTTACTGCTGAGCTGGGAGCCCAAATATGAAACACAAGCAACTGAATACTTCTTTTTTTTTGCCACATCTGTTTGAAACAACAGTGGTGTCAACGGGGTGCTCTGCTACTGCGCTTTACAAGTCTAGATTTCAGTTTAGCCAACCACCCAGTGAGGTCCGAATATTTTTGTATTTACCTCAGTTTCTGGCTCGCTGGTCCTATAGACTCGGAGCGCTGCAGAGCTGCGCTTAGAGGTCGATGTTAAACTTAAGGAGGAGAGAAAAACAGGACAAAAATAAATTCAAAGAAATGTAATTCCATCACAGTCCCCCCCCCCCGATAATTTGCAGTTTTAAAGGCCTGCATGACCACAAGAGACAGGATGCCTCCAGTTGATGGGAAACACATGTGAACAAAGGCAGAAAGCCACGGTTTGTGTGTCTCCCAGCTTTTTGCTCGGATACAGCCAAGTGGAAGGTTTTTTTTTTTTTTTGAGCCAGCCAATAAAAACAAAGCTGTCTGTGTTGTTGCCATTTCCCTCATTTTTCTAAGTGATTCTAAAGTTTAGTTGGGTTTCTTTGAATGAAATGTGCACTGTATGAATTCAGTGATTTGTTTTTTACATTTCTGCTTAAGAAATGGTTAGTGTTTATGTGTAAAGATAATAAATGAATGGCAGTTGTTTGATATATATCTATTTTAGATATCATGCTTCAGTTTGTCTTTTAAGAGATATTGTTGATTTGCTACATGAATTAGAAAAAACAAAGCAAACAAAAACAATATCACGGTAAAAAGAAACCCAGATAAGAAATAAAACCAAAACCCAACTAGAAACCCTGCAAGGCAATTTGTGTTTCCTGTTTGTCAGAAAAACAAGAACAAGGTTTAGAAACAGCAGGGATTTCCAGGCACAGATATGCATGCATGAACACACAGATGTTCTATTTTATAAACAGGCACAGAAACAACTGCAATTATTTTTACAGTGTCATGTTCACACTAAGCTTCTGAGCTAATATACCTGGATCGGTATCACATCTCCAAATATATTAAATTCAATTCAGTTTATTTCTATAATGCCAATTCACAACACATGTTATCTTAAGGCACTTTACATTTCACCAGATTTTATATATATATATATA